CCCCCACCCTGAAATCAATACAATTTAAGTTTTGAGCCAAAGAAAGAATAAAATGTGCATTTTATTACATGGGTCCACTAACTGGTACTGTAGCTATAGAAATTTCCCAGAGGCAGCATCATAAAAGTCGTTAAAGTTTATGTATCTGTGTTGAGATGTTATATCTACTCACCGTCATGCTTTGGAGGGAGCTGTTCGTTCCCTCAGAGCCTGGGGTCTCATTTCTTTCCCAGACTGTTTGAATGCTCCCATCAGAAATCCTTAATGCTCCACTCAACACCTCATTGCCATCAGCATCTTTGACTGGAAAGGCGTCTCCATATGCCACCACAACATCCACCAGTTTACGGCCATTTGGATCTACGTTATATGTTTCCCAGTCCATGCGAATATCTGGCAGCATATAAAGATTAAGATTAGATAATTTTATTAACCCCTTAGAGGGGAAACTAGTTTGGTTGATCGTACATGGAGACAAATGAGAAAAAAGACATAAGTCAGCACAGCACAGCAGACTACAGTAGTAAGACACAAAAAACAACACGTATTCCAAGAGGACATTAGTTTAGTTCTTTTAAAGTATGTTAAAAACACAACCTATGTCTCAGAAAACAAGTAATATGTCATTCACACACATGGGCACTAAAGACCTTATATATTGTTCTGTGGAGCATCACTCAACAGGGGAGACTTTCAAACTGAAGTAGGGTTATTTCCTCCAATACCGTCTCTAGTGAATTGGCAGTCAAAACAACTACAGCGTAGCAGCCTTTTTAGTACTATTTATTGTAATCCTGTTTTTTATGATCTTACCAAACATGGTGGGATTGTTGATGCGAAGGGAACGAGACACTGTGTCACCTCCAGATACGTGAGTGCCAAACCTGATGATGCAAACAGGAAATGTGAAACCAACAGATATAAAGCGATCATTCAAAAAAATACGCTGACGACGCCAAATTCAACTGGAGAAATGGACAGTGAAACGGACTGTATGATTGGTCCCTGGTTCTGGTCATCTGGACATGGGCCCGTCATCTGGAAGTAGAGTGGGCAGCCTTTCACTGTCATCTGCATGGGAATGAGTGCGGGATCAAGGTCCCCAACCTGCAGGAGGAAAAATTCAACATTATTCAGTCTACAACAAGATGAAGAGAAAACGTGTAAAAAGTAATGCTCACAATCTTAATCTAGAAAGTAATTTCTAATCTTTAAATATCTGTCACATCTAGAGCCCAACCAATGTATCAGTCAGCCAATAGTGGCCTATATCAGACATACTGGTATTATGTTGGTATCTGTGTTTATGTTATCTGATATGAAAATGTTTTTTCCAGGGATATAATGCAGAAAAAAATGCTTGTGGTAATATAGCGGTGTCACTGCAAAGTTTATCCAGCAGTGCACTGCCATTTACAATACTGTGGCAAACTGCACAGAGCAAGAGAGAATAAGCTGCTTTTAGCAACTAGAAGTGGTTGATAATGAATATGTTAAATTATTTAACATATTAAAGAATATGCAACTTTAATAAGGTTATTTGTTTGAGTAAGCAGCCTTCTGAGTATCTTTGCATAGTCATGATTTTCATTACAGCTCAAGAATTCACCATACTGGCCGCCATATCTGTAATGATGTGAAATTTTCTCCTCTAAAATTGGTCGGGCTCTAGTTACATCCTATTGTATATCACCATACTCTGCATATGAGGTGATCTCTGTATTCCCCCCACATGTCAGTGTAGGCGGTGACATCCACAGTCTGGGTCTCAAAAGGTCCCAGCATCCCAGTGTCTGGTAAAACAAAGAAAGCTGCACCTTTTCCATGAGCCAGCAGGCTGCTCACAAACTCTGCCAATAGATATAAAAATACAGTCAGAATCTGCAGTGCATGTACTCAATCTGCTTACTTTTAAAAGTGTGCACACTAACCCTCATGTGCTTTTTCTTCTACTTTCTTAGCTTGAACTGAGTGAAGCGGCTTCTTGACGTAAGTGAATCTGTAATTTAAGATACAGCCCGTGTCACATCAGAAGTACAGTAAAGTCATTCTTTGATCCATTGTTCAGGGAGCTCCCTTACCTTTTCTCTGACCGGTCATGTGGCGTTGAGGCATGACAGCTGAAATACTCCGCCTCTATGAAGAAAGGGGCAGTGACGGCAGTATGATTGGTTATCAGTAACTGCTTCGTAACGGCTCTCTTCAAAATGACATCACCTCCAAAGTCCAGTAAGACTGTTGCGGGGGTCTCATCATCTGAAGTAGAGCTAAAAGCAAAGAAGAGAGGCTGTGTTTTGAATGGTAATGTATCCGTCTAACACTTGATATGGATGCTATGCTATGGAATTAGCTAGATTTAAAGCCAAGGTTACTACCGGACACTGGGGAGCGAGTAGGAAACACTGAGTTTCTTGGTTTTGGGGGCCACAATGCTAAGGGCAAGAGGAGAGTTCATCCCCTGGACCTCACAGAGAGCAACCACCTCAGTCAGCTCCATCTGGAGAAAAAGACAAAGTACATCAAAGGACAATTATCCTTAAAAATATATTTTTTTATTCTTTTAACTAGCAGTACAATTTGCCTACTTTACTTTTACATATTCAAATGTTAAGTAAAAAATTGTGGGAGCTTCTGGTGTGTTAATAACTGGTACTTACATCAGTGTGAGAGATAAAGGTAACCGTGATCTCCATGCTGGTGTTAGGCCCCAGAGTGCCAGAGGTGGGGTCAAAACTGGCTGCACACAGTTCAGCATGTTTTCCCTGGAGCTGAGCCTGGTGGGGTAAACGTCAAACTCACATCACCAAGTATTAACTGTCTTAAAATACCTAATCATTCTCTAATAATCGCAATGCATTTTACATACAGACAACGGCTTTGTTTCTTACGTGATTTTAATTAAACATATGTTTTTCTTAATGTAAATTAAGTGGAGATAAAATGTTAAAATGTAGCTATGTTGGGGTACCGTCCAGCTGAAGTGTGAAGGCAGCAGAGTCTGGTTGAAGAGTGTGATGGTTGCTTTGGCAGGAACTCCAATGTACAGTTCAGAGAGGAGCAGCTCACAGTTTAGCAGACACACCTGGGGAGACTGCACATCTGCTTGCACCGACAGGTGACTGCAACGAACACAGGTAGTGTTGCTTGTTATCAGCAGGACGCAGTTACTGAGTCACATCATCATTGTTAATGTAGCAGTGAAGCTTTATGAATCCTTACCATCCTGTTCCATTCTCCACCGTCAGCTCCAGCTCTGTTTCATACTGCTGACAGAAACGTGGCATAAATAGCACATCCACACTGCAAGAGGCCAGGGGGGGCAGCACACCTCTGCATGGCTCCACCAAGATCTAAGCAACAGAGATTCATAAATATGTAAAAAAAAAAAAGAAAAAAAAGAAAAAGAAATAGCAGCCACCTCTTTTATGTTATTTCTAATCACAGATGTGTTGCTATATTGGTCCTCTGTACAGTGCCTGCATGTCTTGGTGGTCCGGCCTCTCCTTCAGCATCCAGGAGGCCTCCAGCTGGGTGATGTTGGTGAGGAGCAGTGTGGTCTGTGTCTGCTCCCCAAGCTTCAAGAGCCCAAAGTCCACACTGGGCACACCGAGGGTCACTATGGGACCCTATCCAAAATCACATTATGAGCACAAAGAGGTGACAAACTACAACAAACAACAAACTAGTAAAGGAGAATAGTCAAGCATTTTGTGAAGATTTTAGCTATGGCATGTTGGTGACTTTGTGATGGTGCTCAGATTTGTTCTTACCTTAAAAGAGACTTCCACGGCCAAAGTGATGGGTTCATGGTGGTGCTCTATGTGGCACACTAGACTGGTCACCACCCTTTCTGGTTTCCCTCCAGTCAGAATCAGGTCGAAATCAAAACACTCGTTCTCCTCTAGACCCAAATCAATCAATAAAGCAATATAGTTTTACAATTTAAAATGTACAAATTCAAGTGAATCTTGTTGAGGGAAGATTTTTCTGTATCATTTAACATTGTGACACACCTATTTTACCAGTAGAGGGCTCTACTTCTATTATGTGGCAGCTCCTGATTCTCTCCCATTGGAAAAATATGCAGGATTTACTGTGGTTCCACATCTGATACACACAAGACATAGAAACACCATCAATAACTGTAGTAGTGGCATAAATATGTCACTCATAGTCAACATTAGGAAAAAGTGACTTAAATAACCTTAAATTGTCTGCGGGTGGTTGCGCAAATAAAAATCTCTCCAGGGATAACAACAGCGTAGGGCTCCAGTAGGACCTGGTATGGCTCTGCTGACCCCTTGACCTCTATCTCCATGGCGATGACATCGCTCACCTTGGAGCCCGTACGCACAGGCTGAAGGACACTAGATTTACACAATGACACAATCCAACACTTACATGGTTAGATTAAAAGCATGCCTGTTTGGTCAACTTAATGTGAGAGTTCTTAATATGTACGGATATTTTTACATATTAATATTTATAGTATTCTACTGTACATACAAAGTCAGAGGGGCTTTACCCATTGTCACTGGGCTCTGGTGGGAGCTGGGGGACGTCCCTCAGGACTAAGTGACAAACACTGTGGTAATCCTTCAACTGAAAAAAAAACATTCACACATCAATAGAACAGGAAATAAATATCGTGTCGATTTGTGTCTCTCTTGCACATACCGTACTATGACATGTAGCTTTTAAACAGGAGACTGAAAATGTAAGAAATACAGCATTAGTAAAGCAAAACTAATGCTGAGTCTTCTGTACCTCTTTAGGACAGAAGGTGAACAGAAACTCTTCTTCCTGGCAGGGGGCCAGAAACCCTGTGACGGGGCTGACATGGAAAACATTATCTGTGGCCAGGTGGAACTGGATGTGGGAGGGCTCTGGGATTTCCCCTGGAAGGAGAGGGCGCAGGTTGGGTTTCATGATCTGCCAGTGGAAAGGCAGCTCCAAGTGACTTCAGCCCCAGAGAGAGAAAGAGAAGAAAAGAGAAAGAGAGAGAGAGAGAGACAGAGACAGAGAAAGAGAGAGAATGACAGCATTATGTAAAATGATGTTTAATGATCCCTGAAGGAAAACTGTTTCTGTTCTTGTGTGCAACACGGGGTCAGCGACAGAGCAGCGGCCCTTAATCTTGTAGTTACTCAGTATTTAATTTCTAACTCGAGGACACAAGAGTGGTCTCCCTACCCACTGTGTTACCCTGTGCTAAAAGAAGCATGGATGACGTGTTGAATGACGTTGGAAAAAGATTATAAAAACGTAAAAAACATGATACTATTTTGCCATGTCACGCTTCGTAGTGACGATATATGAAGCTGTGAGGCTTACACATTGTTTCTAAGGATGAGTTTCTTCTGTTGCACAGAGTGAGGGTTACATGGGCTGAAACGGACAAAGTGCTCTGCAGTGAGGTCATGCACCTCTCCCACCACAGGAGGCTCCTTCTTCCCAGATACCGACACAAGCTCAAGTGCAATCAGCTGGCCCTCACCTGAGAAACACATTATAGACAGTAAGTATCCATTTTTTTATAGACTAAGCTCTTATAAAGATTTATAATCACTGAATAGATTCACCTTCAATGGAAATGTCTTTCACCTGGCAGTTGTCACATACAACAGTGTACACCTGGCAGCTCTTCCCAGCGGTGGTGGGAAAGAAAACCACCTGCAAACACACACACACACACACATATTTGAAATACATTTATAGGATTTAATTTCTATACAAACACACACTCACACAGCCAGCTGCATAGAAGTGACACATTTGTCAAACATATGCATATGAGGCACTGCATCTACATATTTCTGTTCCCACTTAATTTAAATGTACCTCCATAACAGACTCACCTCCACTACAGTGGCTTCTCCTGGCTGCAGCACAAAGAGAGACGGGCTCACTGCAAAGGGTGGCTGCTCAGAAAAGTAAGTTCTTGCCACAGACTATATGAAGAAAGAAAAACAGAAGACCTGTCAAACACATAAAGGATACTTTTTCTTTTCACAACAAAATAAACGTGCGTCAGGTAGATTTTTACCCTGAGGTTCGAGGCTGGCCACTGGTTCTTGGGGATGATGCAGAAGGTCCCGGCGCTGAGACCAACATTTTGGCACAGAAACTCAACAAACTTTACTCCTCCAACCACACAGCAGCCACAGTCCAGAACTCTTGGTACTAAACAATAATTAGGGGGAAACATATTAACAATGCATGACCAAATGGCTGTCTATCTACAGCTGTCACTATCCAATAAAGCCAAGAAAAGGACAAAAAAATAATAATAATAACTTCACAGACCAGGTTAAAAGCAACATAACAGCAACATGAGGTCAGTAGATTGTAATGAGACTCACATGTGAGTATTGGAGGGGGTCGTCTGGCCACGATGGGCACCACAAACAAGTGTTCAGCCTGGGTCTCCACCACGATGAAGTCCTCATAGTCCCCCAGGGAGTCTGGAGCAAAGCGCACTGTGTACTTGCAACTCATCCCTGGAGCAACAACGCTACCCTCACCGGGGAATCTCCCTACGAAATATATCCAAAGATCACTCCCTTCTTACACTCTACCAGCATAATTCTGTATATACACGAGCATCTTGTTATACTTGTGTTTGATACAGTAGGTGGTGCTGGTGTTCACATAGGGGATTGCAACAGCAAGACAGGAATGCTAAAATAGACCAATTGCATTCCAGAGATGCGTGACTTAATTCGTCAAAACTCTCTGGCATTTCTTTTTGATGCAGGCACTGACACTTGGCAGACTTGTTGATTTCCTCACTACCAACAGGTAGGCCGTATAAGCCAATCAGAACAAAAGGAAGAACTCACCCAGGCCAATAGGGAAGTAAGGAGTGGTAGGAGGGATGACTCGGACATGGCGGCTTGCTGAAGTCAAGTTTTTCAGCTCCAGGGTAGTCTAGAACAGGACAGGGCATGTTACTGCACTTCTCCTCGCTGACAAACAGTCTTGGATGTTGATATTTTCTGAAATGTACCTCATAAACATGTCCCACGATGTAGTCAGTGAAAACCACCACTGAAGGCTTTGCTAGGAAGACTGGGACAGGATCATCAGCAGAACTTTTTAGGGAGGTAGAGCACAAATACAACACCTGAGTTGTCTCACCTGTCTCACAGAAAGTGGTGAGCTGAGTAACACGCTACCACTGCCAGCATCAAATTAAACAGTAAAACCACAGAGCAAAGATTTCTTTACTTTCTTCATCTGCCAATGAAGAAATTGTGTTTTGTCTTTTTTTAAATACGCACTTGGCTCTCACTGCAAGGTACTGTTTGTCTTGTTTCACACTCAAATGGGCAAATTATCTCTTAATGCATTCGAAAAGGTTCCTGAGAATCAATCTTTATCAATTCATGCAAATATTAATTTGATTTGGAATGTAATGTGACAGATGGCAGAATATGCTTTTGTCCTGAGATTTTCTTTATATAATTAATATATCTTTCTTGGATAAGTGGGGTTGTGCTATGTTGAATTAATGATATGGGATTAGGAACTCATTTTAAAGATGCATAGATATAGTGTTGCTCACAATAACTAAGTTTTATATTGTAATAAAGGTAAGGCATATGTAATGTAATATGTAGTGGCTTTGACATTAAAGGCCTTGATGTTTCTTTATGTATAATAACTTCACAATTGACTGAAACACTAATAATACGATGATAGATGTACTTAATGCCAGGACTATCACGTTACACACCTCTTTGGCACAAAAGGTGCTTTGTTTTGGGATTAACTGACCTTAATGTGACCCATTATGTCATTAATAATGTCTTTATATGAGCTGCCCCGTGACAAAATGATGAAGAGGGCGCTCATACTCTAAAGATTCCAGATACCTTTGCTCCTCCATCCCTTTCCCCACTTTGGTTCTAGGCCGGATGAGGGATGTGCCACCTTGCTGTGCGTTTGGAGGAAGGAAACGAGGATTGCGTAAGAAGCTCTGTCGATCTTTCAGCTTCTGAAGTTTTTCCCATCCCTCCGCCCGATCCTTCGCGCTCGGCTCATCCTTCCATTTCGGTCTGGGTTTGGTCTGGTTTGGCTTCTGAAAGCAGATTTTAATTACGTTTTCTATTGAATGTTAACAGTCCGCTGACGTAATAAAGTCTCCCCTTTTCCAAGGGGAAGTTAGGCTTGCTAGATCAGAATAATCATCAGTTTTCAAAACTCAGAGGAACACCTTTTAATAATGTTCTTGTTACGTCCGGTTTGGTCCCTGTTGTTTCCTTTTGTTGTTTGTTTTAAAAACTGTCTTTTGTTTCAGTTGATTATCTACTCTTGTTAACTATGAGGTGCCGTTTGTAAAGCGGCTCACACTGAAAAT